CCCAAAGCAATTTGCAGATTAATGTAATCACTATCAAAATACCAATAGCATTCTTCAAAAAACTAGAATAAATAGATCTAAAATTCAAATGGGACCACAAAAGACCCTGAATATCCAAAGCAATCCTGAGAAAGAAGAACAAAGCTGGTGGGATTACACTCCTTGACTTCAAACTCCACACAAAGCCTCAGTAATCAAAACAATTTGGTACTGGCACAAGAACAGACCCATAGATCAATGAAACAGAATATAAAGCTCAGATAAAAACCCACACATATGTGGCCAATTAATATACAACAACGGAGCCCTGGATATACAATGGGAAAATGACAGCCTCTTCAGCAAATGGTGTTGGCAAAACTGGACAACTACATGCAGGAGAATAGAACTGGACTACTGTCTAACTCCATACACAAAAGAACACTCAAATGGATCAAAGACCTGGAAGTAAATCATGAAACCATAAAACTCTGAGAAAAAAACATAGGCAAAAAATCTCTTGAATATAAACATGAGCAACTTTTTTCTGAATACATCTCCTCAGGCAAGGGAAACAAAATAAAAAATGATCAAGTGAGACTACATCAAACTAAAAAGTTTCTGTACAGTAAAGGACACCATCAGCACAACAAAAAGGCAACCTATATTATGGGAGAATACATTAGTAAATGACTCATCTTATAAGGAATTAACATCCAAAATCTATAAAGAACTCATATGCCTCAACACCCAAAAAACAAATAACCCAATTAAAAAATGGGCAGAGGATCTGAACAGACATTACTCCAAAGAAATTTAGATGGCCAACAGGCACATGAAAAGATGCTTCACATGGCTAATCATCAGGGAAATGCAAATTAAAACCACAATGAGATATCACTTCACATCAGTTAGAATTGCCACTATCCAAAAGACAAAAAATAACAAATGCTGCCAATGGTGTGGAGAAATAGGAACCCTTGTATACTGTTGGTAGGACTGCAAATTGGTGCAACAGCTGTGGAAAGCAATATGAAGGTTCCTCAAAAAACTAAAAATAGAAATACCATTTGACCCAGTAATTGTACTGCTAGAAATCTGTTCAAAGAAAATAAAATCTCTGTTTTGAGAAGATATATGCACCCCTATGTTTATCACCACACTGTTTGCAGTAGCCAAAAAATGGAAGCAACTTAAGCATCCATCAATAATTGAATGAATAAAGTTGATATGGCATATCTACATAATGGAATATTATTCAGCCATAAAAAGAAAAGAAATCCTGCCATTTGTAACAACATGGGTGGATCTAGAGGGTATTATGCTCAGTGAAAAAAGCAAGGTGGAGAAAGATAAATACCATATGATTTCACTTATTTGTGGAATATAAAAACAAAGCAGAACAAAAGGAACAAACAGCATTAGATTCACAGACACTGAGAAGTGACTAGTGATTATCAAGGGGGAGAGGAGTGGGTGGGGCATAGGAGGACCTGGAGGGGGGTTGTTGAACCACTATGATGTACATTTGATAATTTTTTTTAGAAATTAAAAAAAATAGCATGCTTCAGATATGCTAAAGGAAATAAAGGAAAAATGATTGTGCCAATAACTGGCAAGAACTGTAAAGGCAAAAATTATACCTCACCCCAACTCTCAACTTTGGAATAGTACAGACAACTATATTCAAAATGAACTAACCATAAGAAGAACAGAGAAGTAAAACAGACCAAATTTAGGCACACGGTTTCAATTTCCAAATGTTCTGCTTTTATAAAAGCTTCAAGTATTCTGCAGTACAGGCAGGCTCATAACTACAACCAAAACTTTCGGTTTTTAAAGATTTCATTTGACGTATCCAAATAATATTTACTAAGTAGTTGCTAATAGAAAGCAACATTTCAACCTATGCTTCCAAAGAAAAAGTATAAAACTAAATTGTTACATACTTGCATTAATTTCCAATAAGATTATCCCTTTAATTACTATCCAATATATTAACTATTTACAGAATATGTTAACTATGTCACTTAAAAAACATGTTTCTTAATTGAGCCACTTAAAATGATATGGACTTTATTTTTTAAAGTATGATAAACTCCTGATTCTTGAACTTCTAAAAGTTCTGTAAGAATTTAGCCTAAAATTACAAAAAAAAAAAATCAACTGCAATTGAGCAAGTAAGTCATAAGTCATTTTATAAACAAAGGAAATCAATCTTCTTCTTGCATTTGTTTATAGTTAGGAAGAAAAATAGAGAATATTAGAACTCTTTTCCTTAGGTCATCCATTACACAAAAGAAGCACATTTCCTAATTACTTATTCTTGAAATCCAAGAAATGCATCCAACTTGGGATAAAGCAAAATTTGATCTAAATTGCACTTTATATTATTTTACATGTGGAACTGACTAAAATCAGTATTAACATAAAACAATATTTCAGCATCCTGATACTTATATTCAACAAGTTTGAAATCTACCTATTGTACATTTCCCTCTTGGAATACTGGAGTTACGTATCAGTCTTAGCAAGGGATCTCCTGTTAGAACCAGCAAGGAAAATACACCTACATGCGGTCTGTGGACCACAAAGCGGAAGCAGGAGTGACACCTCTAATGATTACAACTAATGACACATTATTGAATTTTTGCTTTTGTCCTCTAGGCTCTAATATTCTTGAAGTTTTAAGACCCAAGGGAGGAACAAATAGATGTTCCACTAAATTGGAAGTCTACAGAGATTACCAGCTGGCCATTCCAGGTTCTTTATACTACAAAGTGGAAAGCAGAACAAGGAGGTTATTGACACTGGCTAAGGTGACTAATCCTGATCAGGACTGAAAATCAAGGATAATGAGAGCCGAGAGGAGTGTGGTGGGATGGAGCACAGCACAGGACACCCTGTAGAGTTTCCTTGCACTATACCACCCAGGGAAAATGCTAAGAGCAAGTTTATTTAAATGTTTGAGGACCAAGGTCTCAGAACTAAAGATTCTGGTCACCCCACCAACCTAAGAAGATAAAGTCCTTGCTGAAGAAATGGGGAACACAGAATGAGTAATGGAAAAATCTTAAGCTATGTAGAGCCTCATGATCAGTAAGAAAATCAGAAAGGTCCCCCTTCATTCCTACATCACTTTCTTACATTTTTCCTCTTTCCCCCCTCTATTGTAAAATAGCAACACTCCTAATAGTTAAAATTGATTGAATGCTAACTATAATCATGCACTATTCTAAATGCTTATTAACATATTTAATTATTAGAAAAAGCCTACAAAGTTATTACTCCTGTTTAATAGACGAAGAAACTAAGGCCCAAAGAGACAGTTTAAGTCACATAGCTAGTAAGTGGCAGAGACAGATTTTAAATCTATGTAGTCTAACTCCAGAGCCCACTCCTAACCACTTCTTTATAGTATCTTATTTATAGTTACCATTTAACCTATAGGTTACAGAAAAATGAAACAGGAATGTGAGAAAACAAGAGAAGAAATGGCCTTAATCTAGAGACGCAGGACTCATTTGGTAAGGACACTGTACTATCACCAGTGAATGTAGTAGCTAGACATTACTTTGGCTCCTTCCAGGAAATACTTGAAAATTATACATAAACTATTGTATTTTTTTAATTATAAAAATGGGAAGAAGAATGTGTGTGTGTGTGTGTGTGTGTGCATACACACGTACATGAATGAGAGACAAGAGAACAAACAAGGCAATCAAGGGGTGAAATGTAAGGGAAATCCATTGTTTTTTTCTGTTTAGCATCCCTTCTATTATTTGTTTATAATAGTATATTTGCCACCCCATATAGTCAAACCTCTCCCATACTTTCTGATTTTAAAGGAGCTCCAAACGCAGGATCCCCTATCCCAGGAACTACAGGTGTGCATCCATAATGAAACTGGACAATCAGATTCTCTCTACTGGGAATTTTAATCTTGAGTGGAGTCACACATTAAAAAAAAAAAATGGAAGGAAGTCATAGAATTGTTATCCAATGGCAGTTCCCATTGAATGATGCAGAAGTTTCTACTACTGAAGTACTTGGAATCATCTTAGTCCTTTCCTTAAGACCTAGCTGTTCAATTATTTCAAGTTTATAAGCCACCCAATCACATTGCCTATAAATAGTTTATTGTAAACCTGTATCCGTCTTAAAAACCTTCTTTATTGCCTATAAGCAAAAACCCCTAACTGATAGAATGATTGCTATTAATTATTCAGGAAGTCTAATGCGAAAATGAATGCATTCATAACTGCATCTAGGCCTCCAACAGGGAAATAAAAGTTGGCGATGGTCAGCGAGGAATCATTATGCATGAATGTAAAATTTATGTAAAAAGAGTAAAAGATAATATTCATAATTATGAAGATATTGGAGACACTGTTTTTTCTGAAAATGAATGGACCATCAAAGATACTGTGGCCACAAAATCTCAAGACTGTATATAAATAGGAGACAGAGGTAACAACAGGTATAACTTTAGAGTATAGCATACAAACTAATTCCTTCACCTATTACCACCCTTCTGCTACCTATCTTGATCATTTTCACAAGTGTCATGGACCATAATTCATTCAGTAGTCCTATTCTCCCATTCAAGAGTCTCAAGGACCATGAAGCACATAACAATGTTTGTTGTCTTACAGAATATATAGAATAATGAAGAACCTTACTATGCTGATGGGCAGTGACTATAATGACATATGTGGTGGGGACTTGATAATAGGGGAAAATGTAGTAACCACACGTTGCTCAGGTGAAACCTTCATAAGATTGTATATCAATGATACCTTAATAAAAAAATAATTATAATAATGATAAACCGTCTAGCCAAGCAACCAACATTGAACACATTTATTTTCTTTCATTCTAATTACAAAATACAGACTGAAAGGAGAAAGCAGATGATACAAAGAAAAAATTAAATATAACAAATGAAATGTTAGTTTATTAGAGGAAGAAAGCATGATTCTTACTAACTCAGATAATAATAATAAGTATTAAAAATTTACCTGTGCTTCTGAAACATTATAGTGTCCCAGACCTGGAACAGCTTTCTCAAAATTAGAGGCACTAGTAAAAGTACTTTGCCTGGCAGCCAAAGAAAGGAATGGTGCATAGCCACCTACAAAAGTAAAATCATATCACTGGCAGGTAAGGTAGGATTCCAATTATTGCAGAGAAAATCAGACAAAGCAGATTTTAGAAAAAGGAATACCAGAGATAAGAGAGACATTTCATTATGTTAAGAGGGTCATTTCAACAAGAGGACTTAATCATCCATTAAAAAAAGCAAGGAGGTGATTGCCATAAAAATCAGAATAATGCTTACCTGGGCTGGGGTTTGGGTGGCGTGGGGGTAAGGAGGAAGAGGATTACATTGAAAAGGAAAATTTGGCAGTGTTATATTTCTTGACTTGAATATTCATTTTTTAAGCTGTAATTTACATTTTATGCAATTTCCTCCATAAGTTATTTTATCTCACAATTAAAGGTATATTTTTTTAATTTAGGTTCATACAGACGTAGAATAATGTGAGATAGATATGGAAACTAAGAAGGTTAATAAGCTAGTTCTGAGGCAGCTGTCATCAGAACATGGCAGAGATTCTAACTGAATCTACCTAACAAATACATAATTAATTGCAAAATTCTAAAATTCATATAAAAATGGAAAGAAACACACAATAGCCCCATGTATTCAAGAAAACCAGTATTCATAAAATCATAAAATTGAAGTTTTCCAAAATTATATAGAATCTTTTATTAATAAGTTAAAAGTTTATATGAAATATTGAACTCAAGTAAAATCACAAGAAAATTTAAATGTTTATACGATAAGCTCCATAAGAGAAAGGACTTGTCCATTTTATTCATAACTGTAAACCTAATGTTTAGTTAAGGTGATAAACTGTCATAGTTTATCCAGGACATTCCCAGATAAACCAGGATAGTTGGTCACCCTATCACTATGCCCTGCATATTATACCATAAATACAGAGTGAATAGGTATAGTTTACTAGACCCTTTATAATTCATTCAACAATACTGAATGCTTTATTATGTATTAGAGAGGGACGGTGAGGGTACAATAAATAATGAGTAAGCTAAAACCCTGGCCTCAAACAGTGTGGAAGCCAGACAAACACATAATTACACTACAAACAGTGCTACCAATAATTAAGGCATAAAATATAGGAAAGAGCATTCCAGGGAACTAGAGTTGGTGAAGTTTAAGACAAAAAGTTTGATTTGGTACATATGAATATATTGACATGTGAAGTGCCAATGATAAATCAAACTATCAGGTAGAAAGAAGAAATTAAGAATACAGCAGATGAAAAGATATGAGGAGAAAGAAATAAGTTCAGTTTGGGATATACTGAGTTTGAGACACCAACAGTAGAAGATAAACTGGCATAAAGCAATAAAAGTGGGTCCATTCTGAGAAAGGTGAGCAGCATGTGATTAAAGGACAAGTTCTGCAGTCACCTTTAGTGCCACAAAACAAAGAAAAAGGCATTCTTCACACAAAGACAATAACTAAATCTTTGAAATTTGAGGCACTAGTAAAAATATGTAGTCATCTTCAGGGACATCAACATATAGATCAATCATATACTTACTGTTTATTTAAACCTAAATAAAGATAGATTGCATTCCCTGATGTGGTCTTCCTAAATTCTCCCTGGCTAATAAGACAAAATCATTATTATTCACATTAAGCAGATAAGCATAAATCCAAGACCATGGATGGCTCATGCTTCTGTGGCAAATAAAGCTAACAGCTCCACCCTGAAAGAAGAAATCTGGAAAGTAACACATTTGGGAGGTGGTATTGCCCAGCTTAGATCATTTAGAATCAATATAGATAGCTAATACATAGCTAAAGTGGGGTGCAATTATCATGTAAATCAACTTCAAAAGCAATGGAATACTCCTTACAACAATAATGTTAAGAGCAGTCACATTATCCAAAGGACTATGTTTTTATCATATTTTACTGGGCTGGATGTCTCTGCGGAAAATTTGCTCTGATGAGGTAAGATTTTGCTTCTTTTGATGCTTGTTCTCAGTTATAATTATGAGAAAATCAACAATCGTTCTCACTAATCTGAAATTGGAATATCCATTATCTGTCACTCATGAACTCAGAAGTGCTGTCCTGTCAGGATGCAAATCCTGGGCAGAAAAGTATCTCCCTGATCAAATGGCCAAATACTGAGGCAATGAAGTTTGCAAACTGGAGTGGAATTTCCTGAGGAAAATGTAAATACAGTACAGTGGAGGACTGTCCAAGCAAGCAAAAGTAAAGGGAGAGTGGAAATTAGGAATAGAAAAGTTAGGAATAAAGAGTATTTACATCTTTCTTTTAAAAACTTAAGACTCTAAGTTCCTCTCCTCTTGTGTAATTCAAGGTAACAAGTAAATTATATAAAGTCCCAACATCTGCTCTTCGTACATTAGTCTATAAAATCTACCTGATCCTTAACCAAAATAACTGTATATCTCTGCATAGTCCAGTGTGTGTGTTACTGATCTTAAAGAAGGGTAAAGTAGAATGTACCCAGGAAAGAGTGAATAGCTACTTTTAAATTATCTTGCCAAGGTGTCAGCAGGTACTAAAAAGACACCTGTACCTGCAGGTACTAAAAAGACACCTGGACCTTTTATAGACTTTCAGCATGTCATTACTGAGTATTGCTAAAAGAGCGGTCTACAGAATGAAGCTGCTCAGTTTCCAAGCATGGAATTTCTTGGTTTCCTTCATAGGTCAACAAAGCACAATTCTACAAAGCAGTAAGAGAAGGGTCCTGCACAATCCTACTTACTGCTAAGCAAAGTTCACACAAATCATGTTATAAATGAGTTTTTAATTCTGCTATGTGCAACTCATTAGATTTTTTAAATTTTACTTCAAGAATTATTGTTTGTTATTTTTTTAAGGACTTACGTGTTATGGTATTGAGCTAAAACTGAGAATAATGAAATAAAGATCAAGGTCATTGCCCTCAATAAGCTCACCATTTTAGTATGGTACCCAGATAAGTTAACAGAAAATTACAGTACCAAAGTGCTATGAAAGAGTCATTAAGGAGTCAACGAAGAAAGGCTTGAGAAAGAGTAAAGCCGGAGAACAACTTCACTTCACCTGTATCCCAAAGAATAAGCAGGAATTAGCCAGGTGAGGAAGGAAGAGAGTGCCCACTGGACAAAGGTATCAGCAGGTGCAAAGGCATGGAGGTGAGTAAGCACGAACTTACAGAAAATGCAAAGCCAGAATTGCTGATACCAGCTTAAGTGTTGGTGGAGGTGGAGGTACAGGGAAAGATGAGGTGAATTGGGAGACCAGGTCAGGGATCAGATCATGAGGAATCTTATGCACCAGGTTTTTGTTCAGAGTTTAACTTAAGTGTTAAAAGGAATTTTTTTTAACAAAAAACGTAATTACACCTTAGAAAGGTCACATTATCCATAAGACAGAAGTTAGATTGGAGTGTGAAACAGAAGAAAACCAGTAATATTTTATTGGTTACTTCAGAATACATCAATAATGAGGCCTGAACAAAGTCAAGGGCAGTAATTTATGAAGTAATTAAATGAAGAAAGGGCACTAATTTAAGAGATAATGAGAAGACAGAATCAATAGCTCTTAATGATCAATGAGAGTGGTCAGTCAGAAAAGAAGTCTAGAATAATTTCAAAGCTTAAAGTTTATGACTGAGTGAAAGGGAATTTTTTTCAAAGGGGCCAATAGTGATGGGGAAAATTATCAGTTCAGACACTTGAATTTCAGATACCAGAAACTACCCAGGTGGAGGTATCCAAAAAATAATTGGCAATGTGATGGCCTTCAGAGCTCATATTGGATATATAAAGCACCTAAAAGACTCTTCTGGGAGTCCTAAGAATCAGAATATGGATAGTAGTTGAAGCTATGGATTTTAATAAGAAAGCATACATGAGAAAAGCAACAAGGATGGAAAGTACATTATACAAACATTTAAAAGGTGTTTAGAAAAATAAAAGTCTTTAAAGAAGACTAGGAAAGATTAGTTGGTGAGGGAAAAATGATTCCCTGATTCAGCATTTAACAAGTATTTATTAGGTCCTAACCATGCATCAGGCACTGGTCCAAGACAATAGCTGGAAAAAGAGTCATGAAAAAAATGTTTATGTGACAGATACCACAGGAAAAAATATTTCTAAAGAGAGTGGTCAGGTGTGTCAACATAAAATAATGACTGAAAAATATCATAGGTGTGAGCATTTTGGATGGTTACTGATGGTTAATAAATGTTAGGGAGTTAATGCTTATAATAACGCAATGGCATTAAATAAACAGAGACATAATAAGTTCCAAGAATACTAATACTAATATTAGATGCTTAAAAGCAGTAAAATTCAAGATTAAAACAATGACAAGTGACAAATCTGTACTTGACCAAAGAAACCTTAATCAACCTAATACCCTAACTAGCCATGTCAACAAAGTAATGGATACTGACATTTGTTTAAAAATACAGACATAGTGTGGGAATAGGGAAAATACAGGTTAACAGGGGAAATACTATTATTTGGATGGGATGAAGCTGCAAAACATCATCAGAATAGAAAAAGCAGAAAGCAAATTGGAAATATTTGCTGAAAGTTTTCCCTAAGTCACTAACTGCAAACAAATGAGGAGAGCAAATAATTATGTAACATATCCATTCCTACTCCATCTCTCAGGAGTATAGCTGTTTTTTATAGAAAGAGGCTCTCATTAAGCATGTTCAAACAGAAGATGGGTATGGTCAGATAGGAAGCATCTATCTGAAAGAATACACGGGGGTATCTTTAAATGATATCGCAAAATAGAAACACGGAAGTTACAGCTTAGAAAATAAATGTCTCTATGGCTAGTGGTAGGAAAGGTGTGTGGGGCAGACAGGATTACGAAAAGATACAGTAGGCGGTAGGAAGTACATAGGATTTGGAGACACATACTCAACAGAGCCAGGAAATCAAAATCTCAGATTTAACCTGTACTGTTGAAAGTACGGTGTGGAAAACCATTGTAGAATCAAAAGTCCTAGACATATGCCTACTGAGCTTGTGAAATGCATAAATGATTTTACCAGTTATCGTATGTAAACTAAGGAGAGTATTTTCTCTCCCTACGTCATGTTGTGTTTTCTTACAAGTATTTTGACAGGCACAAAGGGGAGCAGGCTGAACGTGAGATGCCTGTCACAGAATGCTTGCCTTTCCCTACGTCTTACCTGTTACCTGCTTCAGAAAAGGTACCCGGTAGGATCCAGGACCCACGTGATCCTCAGTGCTGCCACCTTCAGCCAATTTGAGCAAGCGGGGTGCCCGATCATACATTACGGCCGGGGAAGTGTGGAGGGCCGTGGCTGAAATGGGATAAAAACAGGGCGGCTAGAGGAGGCGTCGGGGCTCAACCAGAGGTAAGACGTGCCATACAGTCACCTATGTACCCACCAGTTGAGAGCCGAGGAGTTGCCCCAAAGCGGAAGGTTAAGGAGTCCGCGCCGGCCCAGTGCTTCCGGTCCTGCCTCCGCCCATTGCTCTCCGCCCCGAGTGCCACTGGGAGAGAAGCTGAAGTTCCCTTCCTCAGTCCGGCCCTGGGAGCATGCGCACCGAGCCGCAAGCCTTACCCCAGGGCGCTGCCTGACGCTTTACGTCAAGAAGAGAGGGCGGGGCGTGCCTGGAGCTCCTCCTTCAACGCAGACCACGTGGGTCCTCGGCTTGTCAGATAAATCCAGAAAACGCATAATAAGGGGATAGGGCTAACTTAGCCGTGATCCATTTACCCTATAAATCAGTTAGGGCGCCTGGGAAAAGATCAGCAAAAACTGTAAAAGAAAAGCATTAGCGCGAAGCAGAGCCTGGGTTTCGCGAGCCCGACTCCCCACCCCTACTACACCTCAGTCGCGCCCACAGGAAAAGCACCTCTGACTTTACGGCGTAGATAATCCAAACTATGCTAAAAGAAAACCAGGAGCTGCTGGTAGCAAGAACTGGGAAACGGGAGAAGGAGACGAAAATCTCACCAACCAAAGCAGTGCAAGTGCAGGTAACTGAAAGCGGCTTCTGTTGTCAGATGCCAGGCAAACGCACCACTGACTCACTATTCTGTGGATAGGGTAAAGTGAAGGCACTGAGAAAACCCAGTCCACCCCCTCTATACCAGTCGTTCTTTTAACCTTAGGCAAAAGTTACCTGGCTTCTGCAAAGGTTTTAAGAAGTCCGTGTCAGAATCCACCTCAAAGCTGTCTCAGGCTGTTTTTCCAGCAAGAATCCTGTCCAGAGTCTCATCACCCTTAAAGGTTTAAATCCTACTTCGACCATGCCTTGCCCTCAGATGACTTACAGTACTTTAATTTGTTGCTACTACAAATTGTATAATATTTATACTCTGTAGAACCCTATTTGATACTCAATTCTGTGGGTCATTTATTGTAGCTTAATTGTCCCATATATGTTACAATGCTCTCCATACAAGGCTGCATAGCTCCTCAGGAATGGTATCTATAGTACTTTTTTTTTTCTACTCAGTAGCTAGCCAAATAATTATTCACTTAAAAAACATTTAGTGGTATTTACCTTAGGTTCAGTACCCTGCTAGCCTGTGTGGATACAAAGATATAGGAAAATCTCCATCCTCAGGCGTTCTATATCTAATGGAGAAGAGATGTATAAACCATTACAAGAGGTGATAAAATTGATGTATAAAATGATTTAAAAAAAACATTGCAGTACTTTGGAAACCTCTTTTTACTAAGAAACTATATACTAATCAGTGATCCATCCACCACCTTCAGTTCTTGTATTCTTATAGAAACCCTCAAAGTTATTTTCCACAGATACCTCCTGAGATCTGGATCACATTTACTATTAACTGATATAGTATGAAGGAAAGATTTACAGAGATAAAAAGAAAAAAGCATATGCTTTTGGTGATCCAGTGGTGCTTGTAAATTAGCCTCCTATTGGACATTCCTCAAGGACATCATTTGTCCTTGATCCAAACAATAATATATACCCAGAAAGCAAATTCAGGTCTAGGCCATCTTTGCTGCAGGCACTGGTGCAGACTCTAACTTCCCCTTTCTGGCTCTTCATCTGCAACAGCCTAGATTACTTTTTCCTTGAACAGACATGGATTTGAGATTGAGAATGAAAGTGATAAAGCAGACTTTACCTACTTTCTGTCTGATTTGCTTTTTGACCAGTGAGCCTAACCTAACTTAAAAGGAGTTCTTCATAGGATCTATCCTACTTATTTACAGATCTCTAAAGGGATATTTGTGACCATCAGACCTTTGTACCAGCTAGGAATAGGGTGTTTCGTGATCTTGCCTGACTCTTCAGTGCATGTTCTTTCCTCAGGGACCTCATAAAGAAAAGTAACTGATAAGGGCAAGATCTTAGTGTTATCCTGGGTCCTGTGGCCAGATCCCCCATCTAAATATCACACCTCTGTATCTAAATAGAGATACAGCTTCTACACTTTTCATAATTTGTATAATCTTTAGCTGTTTTCTCACCACCTTTCCCTCTTTATTTCTCTCTTAGCATTCAGTAACCAANTGTGTGTGTGTGTGTGTGTGTGCATACACACGTACATGAATGAGAGACAAGAGAACAAACAAGGCAATCAAGGGGTGAAATGTAAGGGAAATCCATTGTTTTTTTCTGTTTAGCATCCCTTCTATTATTTGTTTATAATAGTATATTTGCCACCCCATATAGTCAAACCTCTCCCATACTTTCTGATTTTAAAGGAGCTCCAAACGCAGGATCCCCTATCCCAGGAACTACAGGTGTGCATCCATAATGAAACTGGACAATCAGATTCTCTCTACTGGGAATTTTAATCTTGAGTGGAGTCACACATTAAAAAAAAAAAATGGAAGGAAGTCATAGAATTGTTATCCAATGGCAGTTCCCATTGAATGATGCAGAAGTTTCTACTACTGAAGTACTTGGAATCATCTTAGTCCTTTCCTTAAGACCTAGCTGTTCAATTATTTCAAGTTTATAAGCCACCCAATCACATTGCCTATAAATAGTTTATTGTAAACCTGTATCCGTCTTAAAAACCTTCTTTATTGCCTATAAGCAAAAACCCCTAACTGATAGAATGATTGCTATTAATTATTCAGGAAGTCTAATGCGAAAATGAATGCATTCATAACTGCATCTAGGCCTCCAACAGGGAAATAAAAGTTGGCGATGGTCAGCGAGGAATCATTATGCATGAATGTAAAATTTATGTAAAAAGAGTAAAAGATAATATTCATAATTATGAAGATATTGGAGACACTGTTTTTTCTGAAAATGAATGGACCATCAAAGATACTGTGGCCACAAAATCTCAAGACTGTATATAAATAGGAGACAGAGGTAACAACAGGTATAACTTTAGAGTATAGCATACAAACTAATTCCTTCACCTATTACCACCCTTCTGCTACCTATCTTGATCATTTTCACAAGTGTCATGGACCATAATTCATTCAGTAGTCCTATTCTCCCATTCAAGAGTCTCAAGGACCATGAAGCACATAACAATGTTTGTTGTCTTACAGAATATATAGAATAATGAAGAACCTTACTATGCTGATGGGCAGTGACTATAATGACATATGTGGTGGGGACTTGATAATAGGGGAAAATGTAGTAACCACACGTTGCTCAGGTGAAACCTTCATAAGATTGTATATCAATGATACCTTAATAAAAAAATAATTATAATAATGATAAACCGTCTAGCCAAGCAACCAACATTGAACACATTTATTTTCTTTCATTCTAATTACAAAATACAGACTGAAAGGAGAAAGCAGATGATACAAAGAAAAAATTAAATATAACAAATGAAATGTTAGTTTATTAGAGGAAGAAAGCATGATTCTTACTAACTCAGATAATAATAATAAGTATTAAAAATTTACCTGTGCTTCTGAAACATTATAGTGTCCCAGACCTGGAACAGCTTTCTCAAAATTAGAGGCACTAGTAAAAGTACTTTGCCTGGCAGCCAAAGAAAGGAATGGTGCATAGCCACCTACAAAAGTAAAATCATATCACTGGCAGGTAAGGTAGGATTCCAATTATTGCAGAGAAAATCAGACAAAGCAGATTTTAGAAAAAGGAATACCAGAGATAAGAGAGACATTTCATTATGTTAAGAGGGTCATTTCAACAAGAGGACTTAATCATCCATTAAAAAAAGCAAGGAGGTGATTGCCATAAAAATCAGAATAATGCTTACCTGGGCTGGGGTTTGGGTGGCGTGGGGGTAAGGAGGAAGAGGATTACATTGAAAAGGAAAATTTGGCAGTGTTATATTTCTTGACTTGAATATTCATTTTTTAAGCTGTAATTTACATTTTATGCAATTTCCTCCATAAGTTATTTTATCTCACAATTAAAGGTATATTTTTTTAATTTAGGTTCATACAGACGTAGAATAATGTGAGATAGATATGGAAACTAAGAAGGTTAATAAGCTAGTTCTGAGGCAGCTGTCATCAGAACATGGCAGAGATTCTAACTGAATCTACCTAACAAATACATAATTAATTGCAAAATTCTAAAATTCATATAAAAATGGAAAGAAACACACAATAGCCCCATGTATTCAAGAAAACCAGTATTCATAAAATCATAAAATTGAAGTTTTCCAAAATTATATAGAATCTTTTATTAATAAGTTAAAAGTTTATATGAAATATTGAACTCAAGTAAAATCACAAGAAAATTTAAATGTTTATACGATAAGCTCCATAAGAGAAAGGACTTGTCCATTTTATTCATAACTGTAAACCTAATGTTTAGTTAAGGTGATAAACTGTCATAGTTTATCCAGGACATTCCCAGATAAACCAGGATAGTTGGTCACCCTATCACTATGCCCTGCATATTATACCATAAATACAGAGTGAATAGGTATAGTTTACTAGACCCTTTATAATTCATTCAACAATACTGAATGCTTTATTATGTATTAGAGAGGGACGGTGAGGGTACAATAAATAATGAGTAAGCTAAAACCCTGGCCTCAAACAGTGTGGAAGCCAGACAAACACATAATTACACTACAAACAGTGCTACCAATAATTAAGGCATAAAATATAGGAAAGAGCATTCCAGGGAACTAGAGTTGGTGAAGTTTAAGACAAAAAGTTTGATTTGGTACATATGAATATATTGACATGTGAAGTGCCAATGATAAATCAAACTATCAGGTAGAAAGAAGAAATTAAGAATACAGCAGATGAAAAGATATGAGGAGAAAGAAATAAGTTCAGTTTGGGATATACTGAGTTTGAGACACCAACAGTAGAAGATAAACTGGCATAAAGCAATAAAAGTGGGTCCATTCTGAGAAAGGTGAGCAGCATGTGATTAAAGGACAAGTTCTGCAGTCACCTTTAGTGCCACAAAACAAAGAAAAAGGCATTCTTCACACAAAGACAATAACTAAATCTTTGAAATTTGAGGCACTAGTAAAAATATGTAGTCATCTTCAGGGACATCAACATATAGATCAATCATATACTTACTGTTTATTTAAACCTAAATAAAGATAGATTGCATTCCCTGATGTGGTCTTCCTAAATTCTCCCTGGCTAATAAGACAAAATCATTATTATTCACATTAAGCAGATAAGCATAAATCCAAGACCATGGATGGCTCATGCTTCTGTGGCAAATAAAGCTAACAGCTCCACCCTGAAAGAAGAAATCTGGAAAGTAACACATTTGGGAGGTGGTATTGCCCAGCTTAGATCATTTAGAATCAATATAGATAGCTAATACATAGCTAAAGTGGGGTGCAATTATCATGTAAATCAACTTCAAAAGCAATGGAATACTCCTTACAACAATAATGTTAAGAGCAGTCACATTATCCAAAGGACTATGTTTTTATCATATTTTACTGGGCTGGATGTCTCTGCGGAAAATTTGCTCTGATGAGGTAAGATTTTGCTTCTTTTGATGCTTGTTCTCAGTTATAATTATGAGAAAATCAACAATCGTTCTCACTAATCTGAAATTGGAATATCCATTATCTGTCACTCATGAACTCAGAAGTGCTGTCCTGTCAGGATGCAAATCCTGGGCAGAAAAGTATCTCCCTGATCAAATGGCCAAATACTGAGGCAATGAAGTTTGCAAACTGGAGTGGAATTTCCTGAGGAAAATGTAAATACAGTACAGTGGAGGACTGTCCAAGCAAGCAAAAGTAAAGGGAGAGTGGAAATTAGGAATAGAAAAGTTAGGAATAAAGAGTATTTACATCTTTCTTTTAAAAACTTAAGACTCTAAGTTCCTCTCCTCTTGTGTAATTCAAGGTAACAAGTAAATTATATAAAGTCCCAACATCTGCTCTTCGTACATTAGTCTATAAAATCTACCTGATCCTTAACCAAAATAACTGTATATCTCTGCATAGTCCAGTGTGTGTGTTACTGATCTTAAAGAAGGGTAAAGTAGAATGTACCCAGGAAAGAGTGAATAGCTACTTTTAAATTATCTTGCCAAGGTGTCAGCAGGTACTAAAAAGACACCTGTACCTGCAGGTACTAAAAAGACACCTGGACCTTTTATAGACTTTCAGCATGTCATTACTGAGTATTGCTAAAAGAGCGGTCTACAGAATGAAGCTGCTCAGTTTCCAAGCATGGAATTTCTTGGTTTCCTTCATAGGTCAACAAAGCACAATTCTACAAAGCAGTAAGAGAAGGGTCCTGCACAATCCTACTTACTGCTAAGCAAAGTTCACACAAATCATGTTATAAATGAGTTTTTAATTCTGCTATGTGCAACTCATTAGATTTTTTAAATTTTACTTCAAGAATTATTGTTTGTTATTTTTTTAAGGACTTACGTGTTATGGTATTGAGCTAAAACTGAGAATAATGAAATAAAGATCAAGGTCATTGCCCTCAATAAGCTCACCATTTTAGTATGGTACCCAGATAAGTTAACAGAAAATTACAGTACCAAAGTGCTATGAAAGAGTCATTAAGGAGTCAACGAAGAAAGGCTTGAGAAAGAGTAAAGCCGGAGAACAACTTCACTTCACCTGTATCCCAAAGAATAAGCAGGAATTAGCCAGGTGAGGAAGGAAGAGAGTGCCCACTGGACAAAGGTATCAGCAGGTGCAAAGGCATGGAGGTGAGTAAGCACGAACTTACAGAAAATGCAAAGCCAGAATTGCTGATACCAGCTTAAGTGTTGGTGGAGGTGGAGGTACAGGGAAAGATGAGGTGAATTGGGAGACCAGGTCAGGGATCAGATCATGAGGAATCTTATGCACCAGGTTTTTGTTCAGAGTTTAACTTAAGTGTTAAAAGGAATTTTTTTTAACAAAAAACGTAATTACACCTTAGAAAGGTCACATTATCCATAAGACAGAAGTTAGATTGGAGTGTGAAACAGAAGAAAACCAGTAATATTTTATTGGTTACTTCAGAATACATCAATAATGAGGCCTGAACAAAGTCAAGGGCAGTAATTTATGAAGTAATTAAATGAAGAAAGGGCACTAATTTAAGAGATAATGAGAAGACAGAATCAATAGCTCTTAATGATCAATGAGAGTGGTCAGTCAGAAAAGAAGTCTAGAATAATTTCAAAGCTTAAAGTTTATGACTGAGTGAAAGGGAATTTTTTTCAAAGGGGCCAATAGTGATGGGGAAAATTATCAGTTCAGACACTTGAATTTCAGATACCAGAAACTACCCAGGTGGAGGTATCCAAAAAATAATTGGCAATGTGATGGCCTTCAGAGCTCATATTGGATATATAAAGCACCTAAAAGACTCTTCTGGGAGTCCTAAGAATCAGAATATGGATAGTAGTTGAAGCTATGGATTTTAATAAGAAAGCATACATGAGAAAAGCAACAAGGATGGAAAGTACATTATACAAACATTTAAAAGGTGTTTAGAAAAATAAAAGTCTTTAAAGAAGACTAGGAAAGATTAGTTGGTGAGGGAAAAATGATTCCCTGATTCAGCATTTAACAAGTATTTATTAGGTCCTAACCATGCATCAGGCACTGGTCCAAGACAATAGCTGGAAAAAGAGTCATGAAAAAAATGTTTATGTGACAGATACCACAGGAAAAAATATTTCTAAAGAGAGTGGTCAGGTGTGTCAACATAAAATAATGACTGAAAAATATCATAGGTGTGAGCATTTTGGATGGTTACTGATGGTTAATAAATGTTAGGGAGTTAATGCTTATAATAACGCAATGGCATTAAATAAACAGAGACATAATAAGTTCCAAGAATACTAATACTAATATTAGATGCTTAAAAGCAGTAAAATTCAAGATTAAAACAATGACAAGTGACAAATCTGTACTTGACCAAAGAAACCTTAATCAACCTAATACCCTAACTAGCCATGTCAACAAAGTAATGGATACTGACATTTGTTTAAAAATACAGACATAGTGTGGGAATAGGGAAAATACAGGTTAACAGGGGAAATACTATTATTTGGATGGGATGAAGCTGCAAAACATCATCAGAATAGAAAAAGCAGAAAGCAAATTGGAAATATTTGCTGAAAGTTTTCCCTAAGTCACTAACTGCAAACAAATGAGGAGAGCAAATAATTATGTAACATATCCATTCCTACTCCATCTCTCAGGAGTATAGCTGTTTTTTATAGAAAGAGGCTCTCATTAAGCATGTTCAAACAGAAGATGGGTATGGTCAGATAGGAAGCATCTATCTGAAAGAATACACGGGGGTATCTTTAAATGATATCGCAAAATAGAAACACGGAAGTTACAGCTTAGAAAATAAATGTCTCTATGGCTAGTGGTAGGAAAGGTGTGTGGGGCAGACAGGATTACGAAAAGATACAGTAGGCGGTAGGAAGTACATAGGATTTGGAGACACATACTCAACAGAGCCAGGAAATCAAAATCTCAGATTTAACCTGTACTGTTGAAAGTACGGTGTGGAAAACCATTGTAGAATCAAAAGTCCTAGACATATGCCTACTGAGCTTGTGAAATGCATAAATGATTTTACCAGTTATCGTATGTAAACTAAGGAGAGTATTTTCTCTCCCTACGTCATGTTGTGTTTTCTTACAAGTATTTTGACAGGCACAAAGGGGAGCAGGCTGAACGTGAGATGCCTGTCACAGAATGCTTGCCTTTCCCTACGTCTTACCTGTTACCTGCTTCAGAAAAGGTACCCGGTAGGATCCAGGACCCACGTGATCCTCAGTGCTGCCACCTTCAGCCAATTTGAGCAAGCGGGGTGCCCGATCATACATTACGGCCGGGGAAGTGTGGAGGGCCGTGGCTGAAATGGGATAAAAACAGGGCGGCTAGAGGAGGCGTCGGGGCTCAACCAGAGGTAAGACGTGCCATACAGTCACCTATGTACCCACCAGTTGAGAGCCGAGGAGTTGCCCCAAAGCGGAAGGTTAAGGAGTCCGCGCCGGCCCAGTGCTTCCGGTCCTGCCTCCGCCCATTGCTCTCCGCCCCGAGTGCCACTGGGAGAGAAGCTGAAGTTCCCTTCCTCAGTCCGGCCCTGGGAGCATGCGCACCGAGCCGCAAGCCTTACCCCAGGGCGCTGCCTGACGCTTTACGTCAAGAAGAGAGGGCGGGGCGTGCCTGGAGCTCCTCCTTCAACGCAGACCACGTGGGTCCTCGGCTTGTCAGATAAATCCAGAAAACGCATAATAAGGGGATAGGGCTAACTTAGCCGTGATCCATTTACCCTATAAATCAGTTAGGGCGCCTGGGAAAAGATCAGCAAAAACTGTAAAAGAAAAGCATTAGCGCGAAGCAGAGCCTGGGTTTCGCGAGCCCGACTCCCCACCCCTACTACACCTCAGTCGCGCCCACAGGAAAAGCACCTCTGACTTTACGGCGTAGATAATCCAAACTATGCTAAAAGAAAACCAGGAGCTGCTGGTAGCAAGAACTGGGAAACGGGAGAAGGAGACGAAAATCTCACCAACCAAAGCAGTGCAAGTGCAGGTAACTGAAAGCGGCTTCTGTTGTCAGATGCCAGGCAAACGCACCACTGACTCACTATTCTGTGGATAGGGTAAAGTGAAGGCACTGAGAAAACCCAGTCCACCCCCTCTATACCAGTCGTTCTTTTAACCTTAGGCAAAAGTTACCTGGCTTCTGCAAAGGTTTTAAGAAGTCCGTGTCAGAATCCACCTCAAAGCTGTCTCAGGCTGTTTTTCCAGCAAGAATCCTGTCCAGAGTCTCATCACCCTTAAAGGTTTAAATCCTACTTCGACCATGCCTTGCCCTCAGATGACTTACAGTACTTTAATTTGTTGCTACTACAAATTGTATAATATTTATACTCTGTAGAACCCTATTTGATACTCAATTCTGTGGGTCATTTATTGTAGCTTAATTGTCCCATATATGTTACAATGCTCTCCATACAAGGCTGCATAGCTCCTCAGGAATGGTATCTATAGTACTTTTTTTTTTCTACTCAGTAGCTAGCCAAATAATTATTCACTTAAAAAACATTTAGTGGTATTTACCTTAGGTTCAGTACCCTGCTAGCCTGTGTGGATACAAAGATATAGGAAAATCTCCATCCTCAGGCGTTCTATATCTAATGGAGAAGAGATGTATAAACCATTACAAGAGGTGATAAAATTGATGTATAAAATGATTTAAAAAAAACATTGCAGTACTTTGGAAACCTCTTTTTACTAAGAAACTATATACTAATCAGTGATCCATCCACCACCTTCAGTTCTTGTATTCTTATAGAAACCCTCAAAGTTATTTTCCACAGATACCTCCTGAGATCTGGATCACATTTACTATTAACTGATATAGTATGAAGGAAAGATTTACAGAGATAAAAAGAAAAAAGCATATGCTTTTGGTGATCCAGTGGTGCTTGTAAATTAGCCTCCTATTGGACATTCCTCAAGGACATCATTTGTCCTTGATCCAAACAATAATATATACCCAGAAAGCAAATTCAGGTCTAGGCCATCTTTGCTGCAGGCACTGGTGCAGACTCTAACTTCCCCTTTCTGGCTCTTCATCTGCAACAGCCTAGATTACTTTTTCCTTGAACAGACATGGATTTGAGATTGAGAATGAAAGTGATAAAGCAGACTTTACCTACTTTCTGTCTGATTTGCTTTTTGACCAGTGAGCCTAACCTAACTTAAAAGGAGTTCTTCATAGGATCTATCCTACTTATTTACAGATCTCTAAAGGGATATTTGTGACCATCAGACCTTTGTACCAGCTAGGAATAGGGTGTTTCGTGATCTTGCCTGACTCTTCAGTGCATGTTCTTTCCTCAGGGACCTCATAAAGAAAAGTAACTGATAAGGGCAAGATCTTAGTGTTATCCTGGGTCCTGTGGTCAGATCCCCCATCTAAATATCACACCTCTGTATCTAAATAGAGATACAGCTTCTACACTTTTCATAATTTGTATAATCTTTAGCTGTTTTCTCACCACCTTTCCCTCTTTATTTCTCTCTTAGCATTCAGTAACCAAAATGGTATACAGTATTTTAGAATTGGAAAAATCTTTTTAAATGATAACAGTAAATCTTTTTCATTATCTCTCACTGTGGTAAATATTTCTTGAAAAGTTCAGAATGATATATATATACACACACACATATATATATACACTCATACATATAAAATTATATATACAGAATTTTAATTACACATGAGCACAAAATAAGTTGGTTTAACATTTCTCAATTCCTGCAAAATAGTTTTAATGCTAATTAAACACACTGTACAACTATTTCCACAGTATTAGTAAGAAACTGAACCTATATTTGAACTCAGATTTGTTTGACTATAAAATATGGGTTCTTTCTATTTCTCCATGCTGGCTTCCACTATAAGAAACTTTAAAATGAAGTTTTAATCAGTCAGATTAGTTATTTATCACATATTAGGTACAATGAAGAACCCCATAGTCACCAGTTTTTCCTTATAACAGTTTAAGAATTAAGTAGATAACAACACAGGATACCAGGAGTATTACATGAAGAGAGGGTGTTCTGCCTTAAATAGCATTAAATACCTTATAAATACTATAAAACTGAACTGGTTTTGAGACTAATTTCTTAAACCCATTATATATTACTGGTTTTCCTTCCTTTTGCTTTTTGTGAAAATAAAAATTAAATAATGGTAATAAATCATTTAGCATGTATCAAAATCAGCTAAATATATTTTGTCACTGTTATTAGAAGTCACATTATAAAGTGATATGCATTCAATTAAAAATGGTAAAAATATTTATGTAATGATTTGAAGCTTACAAAGTATATTTTCTATTCAGTATTTTGTATTATATAAGAAAGTGTGCCCCCTCCCTATCAAAGAGACTTCCTGGAAGTAATACAGAGAATGTGTGCATATACTTCATTGGCCTAAACTATGTCAATAAGCACATTTAGCTATAAAGTAGGGTGGGAAATTAACATATTCCTGGGTACCAGGTTCTGTCATTAAGAAGAAGGAAGTCAGTGTAAAGAAAAGTACTCACCGTTTCTTCCACAATCACCCTCACTTCTTGTCCAAGGTACCCTATTCTCCAAGTTCTCATTGATCTTTCTCTTGATGGCAACTACTGTGTTCTCTAATTTTTGTTTCTTCCTCTCATTTTTCTTTCTTCTCCTATTCTGTTCTCTATTTCTCCTTTGGTAGTTTCATCCATTTTCATAAATCATGTATTCTCTTTGAGGTTCATGCCAGTGAGCCTAACCTAACTTAAAAGGAGTTAGTTAGGTTAGAAAATGAAAAATGGAATAGCCACTTGGAAAGACAATTAGGTGGTTTCTTATAAAACTAAACATAGTCTTATCGTATAATCCAATAATCACACTTCTTGGCACTTCCCCAAAGGAATTGAAACCTTATGTCCACACAAAAACCTTATATCCAAGTGTCTGCTTAACACTTAATTTTAAGCAGTCCACCAACACTTCAAATTAAATGTTCTCAAATCTTAAGTCACTTTTTTCTCTGGAAAGCCTGACCATCCTCCTAATTTCCTATATCTGTTCAGAAGAGCAACATCTTCCCATACATAAGGCTTGAAACCTCTTAGACTACATCTACTCTTTGTGCTCCCACATTCAAACAGCAGCTAAGTCCTTTTGTTTCCACCTCTGTGATCTTTCTGAAATCCAGCCCCTCACCCCATCCTTACTGCCATTTTGTTGATGCTCTCATCCCTCCTGATTTGATCTATTCTAATAGCTCAGCTGTGATGCCTTTTCCAACCTCTCTTATAGTTCATCCAGTGCAGTTAGTTTAATTTTCAAAAGTATAATTTTGAGAATATCACTCCTGCTCAGAAATCTCTTATTGCTTACTGAATAAGTCTGGCATTGGGTGTCCCAAACAAGTCAACCTACCTTTCAGTTTCTATATCTTCCACTACTTCCCCATTCATACAGGTTACATATTGGTCACACAAACCTTGTCTTTCCTTCTCTGTGCTTTTGTTCAAGACCTTATCTCTGCCTGGAAATCCCCTCCCTTCACCTCTTATCTATGAATGCTGCACTCTTACAGCATCATTTTTTTTCATTCCTCCCAGCATTTAGCATAGCACATTTTAAAAAGTACATTTTTAATGTTTGTGTAATTATTCTTTAAAAAGGATAGTAAAATGTAAAATGAAAAACTAGCCAAGCAATATTGCTTTGGATACCAGCTTAGTACTTCATACTGGATGAGAAATAACGAATTCTCTAAATGGTTTGGAAAAACAAAGGAATCCTAGTTACTCCTTCAGAAAAAGAATGCACCAGGCTTACAGTAATTAATTCATACCTACCCTATTCATTGTCATCCATATTTGCTGATAGTTTGTTAGCTTTTTAAAAGGTATTGTCTGTCAGGTGGAAGGAGACAAGGAGACCAAGAGGAAAAGTTTGGGAATTGAAAGATTTTTAGAGGTCGTACCAAGAAACACAGAGTTTTCTATTTGTTGGAATGAGCTAAGTATGTCTATGCTAGTTAAGTACCAGTTATAAATATTACTATATATGAGGTTATATGTCAAAATAAAAACATATTGTTTCAAGAGAATTAGAAGATAAGCCACAGACTATTAGAAAATATTTGCAAAAGAAATATCTGAAAAAAAGACTGCTATCCAAAACATACAAAGAACTTGTAAAATTCAACAATAAAATAACACCCAATATAAAAATGGGCAAGAGACCTAAACGCCTCACCAAAGAAGATATCCAGTTGGCAAATAAGCATATGAAGAAACGCTCCACATATGTGACTGGGTAATGCAAATAAAAACACCAGACTTATACCATTTATATTAGGGTTCTCCAAAGAAACTATTCAATAGAAAATGTGTAAAGACATATATAAGAGGATATTTATTATAAAACTTGGCTCACATAGTTATGGAGGTTAAGAAGTCCCACCATCTGATGTCTATAAGCTGGAGAACTGATAAGATGATGCTCTAACTTGGCCTGAGTCCAAAGGCCTGAGAACCAAGGGAGACAATGCCATAACTCTCAGTCTAAGGTCAAAGAC